TTTCAGTTTCATTTGTGTGGCTATTAAGACTTACCACTTTCATTTCATGTTACAATTATTAAAATTGCATTTTATTTTAAAGGCATGGATACTTCTTAGCTATCATGAATAAAAAAATCAACCCTAAAAACGGCGTTTAAACCGAAATGCTTTTAATTTCATCTTTGGAACGTGATGCTCAATAAGTGTGTTTGCTTGTGTTTCTCTATGACTGTTAAACTGATTCATGTCTTCAAACTTTCTTCTCCCGTATCATACCCTAGCCCTTTATTATTTACAGATTGACGTATTTTTTTAGTTTTATTTATTTACCATCTGTACTTAAAATAGCTCTGAGCTTGAAAAGAACCGGGCGATGTGATTGAGTATATGTTTATATAAATTATTAGTTGTTTTGTATAACCTGATATTCGGTTCAGTACACGATAACAGCAAAGATCTATTCTTAGCAACAAGCAAAGTACATTGAATATAATAGATTGGTTAAAAGATGATTAAAAGTTAGGATATGATATCAATCTCACCGCGTTGCGTGCAGCCACGTTGAATGAGGTTATCATGACTAAGCCCTAATAATCGCGAATTAACTTGAGGGTCAACAACCTGGCAAAATCTAACTCTCAATAAACAGTTCTAGACTTTAGATCTAGACAAAGAAGAAATGTTCTTTTTTAGATTTGAAGCTCGAGAAATGATGCAAGAATGGCAACCTACAAAGCTAAACTGACAGAAAGAGTGATAGACATGTACAAAAACTGCGAAAATGTAAAAATCATCACCACAAACAGTGTTAAATGCAAGCTATTGATCAAAGCTGGAAATGATTAAAATTATATCCCAGAGCTTTCTCCTTCATACATGAAGAAAAACTTAGTTAGTTTCAAGTTTGTTGAGAAAAGAAAAGGCTCCGTCCTTTGTGAGGCACACCAGTCGCGTACCACTTTGGTTGTTGCATAAGAGTTCCTTTACGACTGTTTTAGCAGGTTGTGCAGTTATTGCAAAGAATGCTGTCCGTAAAGTATGCTCAAAAGACATGTCAATTAATCACTGACACGATATCTTTACATCAACTCCTCATTTAAGTCATCAGGAATTGGCAGATTAGCCTAATGATACAGGACCATCCCTCACGCGTAGAATAAATGAATGTCTTCAATGTAAAACAACGAAAAAGCTCAAGCCAACGTGCCCTAGTTTGCTAATTCTATTTTGAAGGCGAGCGCCTTGCATATTGAACGTAGTCAAGAGGATTCTTTGAAAGATTTGTAGTATTTAGTTTATCGCTGTGATTTTAATTAATAGACCAGTAGGCAAATAAAGGCCAGATCGACGATATCAGCCCGATAACCGTATTTAATTATAGCGGACACATCAAAGAATAGCATGGGTTACAAGGCATTACTAAACAGTCTACAGTACGTCAGCTCATTTGACGATGTGGCACAAGAATAGAGGTCGTGAAACATACCACTTGAAATCCATTTGAAACAGAAACACTTCACCTCAAACCAAGAAAAAAAGACTCGAAAAGGATGCCTCAGCAACTTCTTTGTGTGAGTGGATTGGGTCTCTTAATCCTACTGACTATCTCATCAAGTGAAGTTAGCTCAGCGGTAAGTTTTCCACGGCATACGTACAAGTTTTATCTACACCTCCCAACCTTCAAATCACCACCTTGATCAGTTCTTAGATTGTAGTATGTTAGAAAACACTCTTTGTAGGAATTTAAGCGACTGTGTACGCCACAAAAGGTCTAAAGTAAACACACTGAGACACAAACAACTCAAATGATGTTAGAATMTATTTAGCTAGCATTCTAGCGAAAATGTTTGCGCAGAAGGTAGACTTTATGTTGCGTTAAGWAAAACGTCACTTATAGATTTAACATGACAAATCAATACAAGGAATAGTATATGGAATATAATAAACGTCTTATAAAATACTGCTAATTTCAAAACCACAAGCCGCTGCACCGCGTCACTGTTACAATATAATCCTATTCGAATGTCAATCGAATACTAGATTCGGAAACAGGTGCGGTTCCGCRAAAAATGCGCACAGGAAAGCGCATTTCAACGCAGCCACGTATCACTCAAAATGTAAAACATTGCATTCCAGTATCAACCAAGGTAGAAATATTTCAACGTTGACACATCGATGATAAGTTAAAAATATCTTGATGGACAATGTCTTAATCATATGYGAATCAAAATTCCATCGAAACTCGAGCCATCAATGAAGGAKGGAGATTGKTTGCTGTCGCTTCTTAGACGGTCTCTCTGATCTTATCCAAGGAAATATTCCAATCGGAACCTATCAGTACCTTATGTTATATTTATTGATGACTGGTAATTGCTTCAACAAGTGTTAATAATACGCCTTCAGGACATCAATTAACAAATAGGTTTGCTGGATAATGTACGTGCTGGGTTTGTGTGGCTTTAGGATTAAGAGGATATGTCTCGATATTTATATTAAAAAATATWGAAAATATTATATGCATTCACTTTGCCAGAAAATGAATTCAATATTTCCTTGTGTCGAAAATTTTGCAATCATTCAGTGAATTCGAACATACGTCTTTTTTAACAGAAGCAAATTTTTATCATTCATCGTATCGATAGTGTCTGGCGAGAGGTTTTGTTTTATA